GGTTTTAATTATTAAGCATGTTCAATTTTTCTAATATTATCGTCATAATATATTGGTGTTTTTATTTCTTTTTTTGAAATATTTTTTATTTATTTTGGTCATTTTTTTATTTAACTGCTATCGCACCCGCTGGTTTACCAGTCATAAAACTCCCGCAAACGCACCAATTTTCAAACGCTAAACCAGTCATTCAAAACGCTTGATAACGCTTAAAGCCGCAACCGCCCGCTTCCGCAAATTCCCACAACCGCAACCGCAACCGCTGCGTTTAAACCAGTCAGGCCCTAACTCTCCGACATGTTTCATTTCTATGCTGAAACATTTTAGCTTGGTTGATCTAGTCCTTTATTCTAGTCACAATTTAAAATTTTATTGAGTGTGACTAATATTTGTACTTAATCAGTGACTATGAAATAAAAAAAATGCATCGGTTGTATTATTAAAATTTAAGATTTTTATGACAAGTTTTCTCCCTCTTAGGAAATCTATCTATTGGGAGCGTGTCTTCTGTACTGTGGAAGCTTTCAGCTGTCAGTGGTTTTGTTGCGTTGTATCATTGAAATTTGATGATGGTGAAAAAACTGTGTTATGTATGGAGGTTTCGATTTTGGAATATTTAGATGATTAGTGTCTAGCTCGTCTCTATCTTTTGCCTCCCTCTAGGAAATCTTTTCCGGTCCACAACTTGGCAGTCCAATGGCAACATCAATAATTCTTTTGTCCTCTTGTGTTGAAGAATTTATAAATTACATGATTGAATAATGCTAAAAAAATTTGAAAACATGAATTCAGTCAAATTCTGTTATATTCTTAAGTTCAATAATTCACTTCAGAATAAACTAGACGTACTTGTGCAGTAAAAATAATGCCTACAATGTGTTGCTTTCAATTTTTAAATCGTGTAAATCACATGTTATATCAATCTAAATAACATAGTTTACGTGTTCGTACCGAATTGTTTTTGGTAATCAAATTTCACAATGATGAAAATTAATGCATTACTCTCTTCGTATGACGTGTCTATCATTACTTCAAAGACGCCTAAATATAGTATACATAATACATATCTGTTATCAATTTCAGTTCACCCTTTCACTAATCAATCAGGTAAGCACATTTACAAGATTTAAACTTAAGCAATTTTATGTTTGAAACAATGTGACATTATATCATATATATAATATTTAGTGACTGCAGGAAAATGATCCTAATATTAATCCAGAGAGACGAAAATTTCAATTACCACAATTGTTTAGAAACCAAGGCAACCTACAAAGTCTTCAAAGATCTTAAACAAGTATGACAATTCTAGGCGAGAGAAGAAATCACGAAGAAACACACTACTTTCGCATAAAGTAGATAAAGAGGGCAAAATGATAATGAGCACAAATCAATCACTGGTCTCCAGGAAGTGCCTTGATGATGTCAGAGTCACCTGAGTGTGTAAAAAACCAAGATTAACATTGCATGTGTAAGCTGATTAGTCTAAAAGACATTGGACAGTGTATGAGTGTGTTACCTGGGTCAACTATGCTGAGGCATGACACACGGAAGTATTTACCGCAGGCAGTACCAAGATCAACATTGTCTACAAGGAACGAGTACAAAAAAAGAATCAGGCAATGAAATAACATATTTGCAGAGACTCATCAAAATAAGCAGTTTCTGTAGTCTCAGTAACATAATCAAGGTTTACAAGACTCTCAAAGCAAAAAGCAAGCATGGAACAATTTCTGAAATAACTCACTCACTGGTTCTCACTGAATTTGGTCGCTTATACCAGAAAACACAGAGCAATCACTGGTGTAGGTAGGAAACTGATACGTAAAAGTGAGTTCAGGCTTTTACACTAATTAGTCTTTACATTAAAACAACTATAAGAATAGCTCTAATGGACTGGTAGTTACACAATCTATCTATACAATCCAATATTTACAAGAATTTCAGGAACATACCATCTAAGTTTTTAGGGCATTCTAAAGGGGAAGTGGGAACAGTTTTATGAATTGAAAATCACTCACTTGTTTTCACTGAATTGGTCCCTAATACCACAAACACACAAAACAATCATAGACCATAGAGGAAACTGATACAATGAATCGATTGTTAGGTTGCACAATTACACTCTCTATCTATAAAAATTTGGGGACAGATCATTTCAGAGCTTCACTGTCAAATTCCTCAGAATAATTTGCATTTCCACAGCTATTTCATATTGATTTCTTGATTATATCAGAATCATGGCATAAACTAAAGAATTATTCCTACATTTAGACCTATCTGTTGTTCATGAAAGGAACTTACTTCCATTGTAGTGATGAACTCCAACTTTAGCAAGCATAGCATAGTACTCAATCTCGGACCTCCTCAATGGTGGACAATTGCTAGATATAAGTATCAGCTTACCTACAACACAATCATAGAGCTCACAATAAAGAACCAAAAACCAATAGATTATGAATGAAACAAGTTTCTTTCTACCTTTGGAACTGCGAAGAGATTTGAGAACAGACTTGTAACCAAGAGTGTATTTGCCACTCTTCATCACCAAAGCCAATCTGCTGTTGATTCCTTCATGAGACTTCTTCTGCAAGAAATGGATTCAACAAAATCGGTACACTCAAAATTTCACCGAATTATGAAATTAGATCGGAGAGAATCATACCGTCTTCTTCGCTGCAACCATCTTCGCCGGATTTTACTGATAATATTGACAGAAACGAAACCGGAGAATCAGAAATCGGTGATGATGGAAGAGAGAAATTATGGGAAAGAGATCGGAGATTGTTTTACCTTCGGTTCCTTTTAGGGTTTGGGTGGCGCAAAATGAGAAGTGAAAAGTAGAGAAGAGAGACTAAAGGAACCTTTAGGGTTTTTGAGAGAGACACAGATTGGGCTTGATAATTTGGGCTTTAACGGATCTTTCTTTATATTTAGCCTATAAATATATTTTGATATTTCAAATTTAGTGAAATTTATTTCTAAGTTTTTTTTTTCTTTTTTTATATATGATATTAATTTAGAATAAGTGTATGAAATGGACCATTATTATAGGTACTTTTATTTTATCGTATTTTTAAATTAATTATAATTAAAATATTAGTTAGTCCAATATTATTATGTTATTTTATATTCTAAGAAGATTAAAATTGATCTCTATTTATGTTCCATTTATCTTTTCTATTTTGATTTCTAAATTTTCCATTTATTTTATAAAGAGATTAATTAGGGTTAGAGGTGGTGGTGTTATTATAAATAGGAATCGAAATTTGTATTCTCTTGATCAACAATTGATACTCGAGCACTCTTTGTTTATATTCAGCTGCATGAAATAGTAGAAAACAACGATCACAAAAACCCTAGGATCAGTTCCAAGTACGTTTCTTGCATCTCTCTGTCTCTTCAAATTCTTCTTATCATCAACTCCAAATATATATCATCAATCCATAACTTGTGAGATTATGCTTTGATTCACAGATTAGCACGTACCTTATAATGTGTGATATTGATTTATTTCGAAAAAATCCGGAGATCATCCGAGAGACTCAACGCCGGAAATTTGCCAGCGTCGAAGTTGTTGAGGAGATAATCATTCTCGACCAAGTATGGCGTCAACGTACGTGTATCTCCTTCTTTTTCTTCGCATCAGTTTCTCTTCTTACGAGTTAATTAAGCTTGATGATGCTATCGAATCTGTGTGTTTTCAGGTAAATATGAATATGATTGTGCCCGAAAAGACTTCAATAAGACTAACAAGGAAGTGGCCAAGCTCAAAATTGTTAGTGTTTGTTTTGTTTAAGTTTTTGTTAGGAGATCTCGAAGATTACTAGATTGACTTGAAAAGAAAGTTAACATTTGTATAATATATTCTTATTATTAAATAGGTAGATTTCCTAATATCAAATATGTAAAGAACTTGCTAATCAAGTTATGATATTTGTATAAATATGCCTATTGGCTAATGAATAAAATTGAGAGAAACTATTATACTTCTAAGGTTTCCTCCAAATTTATCATGGTATCAGAGCCTTGATCTATTCATGTGGGTTATGGTTCTCTTACGTTAGCTTCCGCGTATAAAAAAAAAAAAACAAAAAAAAAAGAAGAAGTTTTTAATCTTCGTTTCTTTGTTTAGGAAAATCAAACACACTTCATTGATTTTCTTTTATTTTTATTTTATTTGTTATGAAAAAAAAAAAAAAAAAAAAAGAAAGAAAGAAGAAGAAGATGGTGTTACTTTGTCTCGTTCACAGAGATTTGGTGACAAGAAAAAGTCAATGAAGACTATGATATTGGTGACGTTAATAACTTCGGAATTTGGCGTTGCATGAATATGAACATGAACTTGATTGGTTTGTTCTATGATGAGATGGTTCTCACATGATATTCGCAACGTTGATGAAGATGGTTATGATATTTTCAAGAGATTTTGTCAACGACGACGACTCCAACGATGCTATGGAGACGGTGATTATTTCTTGTGAAGATGAAGCCACAAATATGAAGAACTCCAACAGATATATACGGATCCGATGGAGGTGGTGATATGATGTTGCTATGAATTATGAGCATGAACCAATTGATGAGTTCGTTCAATTCACATGGTGACATAAGACGATGGAGTTACACAACTACTACAGTATTTTCCACCGAATTGATGGTCATTGATAACCCTATAGTGGGGATAAAGACCGTGAAGATGATTGTCCAATCTCATACGTATTACCACGTATGAGCTTGCGGGAGGGTGTTAGGAGATCTCGAAGATTACGAGATTGACTTGAAAGGAAAGTTAACATTTGTATAATATATTCTTATTATTAAATAGGTAGATTTCCTAATATCAAATATGTAAAGAACTTGCTAATCAAGTTATGATATTTGTATAAATAAGCCTATTGGCTAATGAATAAAATTGAGAGAAACTATTCTACTTCTAAGGTTTCCTCCAAATTTATCAGTTTTAAGCATAAAAGTTTACTAACGAAGTCTCTCATGATATTAGTTTTGGTGTTTGATGTTGTTTTTTTTTTTTTTTTTGGTAATAGTCTGATGCTGATGCGACTGAGAAGATTCAGCAAGCAGAGATTATCAAACAAGAATGTACCAAGTATGAGGCGGAAGTTCGTGAAGCTTATGCTTCTTTGGAAGCTAAATTGTGGACAATGGGAAATCTCATCCATGACTCGGTTCCAATTAGTAACGACGAGGTTAGTTCCACTTCCGTTGCTTGCTTTCTTTCTTGAGGTTTGTCTTCATGGTGGGTGACCAAAAAGGAGAGGACTTAGAATAAGTGTGTGGCTTATTTTTGCAGGCAAATAATCTCTTGGTTAAAGTTTCGGGTGAACCGCGGGTTGCTTCACCTGGTCAGGAGCTAACAAACCATATGGATCTCGTTGAGTTTCTCGATATTGTAGATACCAAGAGAGGTAGAATTTTCACTTTGGCTACCTCCTCAATATCGTATTTTGTGCTTTTGGGTTTCATTGAAACGCTATTTTTGCCCGCAGGTGCTAAAGTTGCCGGAGGAAGAGGCTATTTTCTAAAAGGATATGGCGTGCTCCTTAACCAAGCTCTTATCAACTATTCTTTAGCCTTCTTACAAAAGAAAGAATTCTCAGTTATACAACCTAACTGTCTCATGACGAAGGAATCCATGGCCAAGTGCGCACAATTGTCACAGTTTGATGAAGAACTCTACAAGGTATCAAACCGAAAACTTTTTTTTCTTTAATTAGACTAAATAAATTAATAGTGCAAAAATTAACCAAATTCGATAAATTAAATTAAAAAAATCCTATATGTAAATATATAGTCCGCATAATACCATAAACTAAAATTGATTCATTCTAAATTTTGAGAAAAATGTTGTTTTGTTCAGGTGACTGGTGAAGGAAAGGGAAATGATGAAAAATTCCTTATTGCAACTGCTGAGCAACCTCTTTGTGCACAACATCAAGGTGAATGGTTCCATCCGACCGAGCTTCCCATAAGATATGCTGGTTACTCGACCTGCTTTAGAAAAGAAGCTGGTTCCCACGGAAGAGATACTCTTGGCATTTTCCGTGTTCACCAGTTTGAGAAAGTCGAACAGTTTTGCATCACGGGTCCTGATGATTCGTGGGAAATGCTTGAAGAGATGCTGAAGAACTCGGAAGAGTTTTACCAATCGGTATGTAATTTCAACGCCTCTTGAAGTTAAAGATACCTTACAAGAAATTTTCAAATGTTTTATCTTGCTCCCCAAGTTATCTCTAATATGTTTTCTAATTAGCTAATTGTTATGATGATTATTTTGCAGCTTAAAATTCCATACCGAGTCGTGTCAGTTGTCTCTGGAGCTTTGAACGATGCAGCTGCAAAAAAGTATGACTTGGAAGGATGGTTTCCTGCGTCAGGGACTTACAGAGAGCTCGTGTCCTGTTCCAACTGTACAGACTATCAGTCTCGAAGACTTAACATTAGATATGGTTACAAAAAGGTACAGCTCTCAGTCCTTTTTGCTTCACTAGAAAATATGTTCTATCATGTGTAATTATTATTTTTAAAATGCAGAGCAATCAGGAGACGAGGAAGTATGTGCATATGCTGAATTCGACTCTTTGCGCGACACAGAGGACCATTTGCTGCATTCTCGAGAACTACCAGCGAGATGATGGTGTGGACATCCCTGAGGTTCTGCAACCTTTCATGGCCGGAGTGAAGTTTTTGCCTTTCAAGACCAAAGGCAAAAAATCTAAAGCTTGATTGATATACATAAACAAACAAAAAATCAGTTTCAGTAATGTTACTGAAACTATGTCTAAATTCAAAACTAGCTATATGCCACTCAATGTTGCGATTTTCATAATAAGTTAATTTATGTGGGCTACCAAATATAAGGAAGCTCTTCCAAATCTAATGACACAAGCAACTCCAAAACACCAGCTTTATTGGAACAGAAGCTAAACCTCTTATAGATATCATCAATTCAACACTTTTCGAATCGCATCCACCAGTTCTTCTCTTCTTGAAAGCTCCACCTGCATCACACATATTCATTTAGGGGGACTCCAACTAATGAGCCATACAAAAAAAAAAAAACATAGGTTTCTCAGTTTTCTCTAGTGTTTCAGTTCATACCTTGTTTAGAAGATTAGCAAGTCCTTGTGGCAGAGCCTGCAAATCCGACGAATTCCCAATCTCTGCAATTTGATTCAGCAGTTTCTGCGCTCTCAACTCACACAGCTTTTGCTCATAGTTACTAACATTGTCCTTCCATGTGAAGAACAGTTTGTCGTCTGTCCAAGCTTCTTCTTTCCCCTTTGCAATCTCAGATTTGCTGAACCAATCCTGAATCAAACCCATAGCAGATTTATATGATAAGATGTCTCCAGAAGCTTTTCTTATGTTCCTCACAAGAGAGCTCTCTGCAATTCTACGATAGAGCTTTTTATAGAAGAATGACCGCGAGCCACTCCATTCCACAACACTTTTGATCACTCCTTTTGCAGCCATTCTCATGGAAGTGTCATGGAGTTCAGCAAATTTGGTAGCGATTTGGATATAAATTGGTAAAAGTTGCTTCTCTCGGGTTTTAATCTGTTTCTGGAGAAGCTCGATGTTTGCATAAGCCTCGTTTTGCTTGGCATCTTGGATATTTGCTTTCAGATTGATGAGCGTCTTGTCCAACCTTCCCATGCACTCTATCAGCTCTTTCCTTCTAAATTTTATCTCTATCATCCCTTCAGGCTCAAGCACATTTCCACAAGCGGTTTCATCAGCATACATTTCAACATAATCCGAATTTATCTGGCTATCAACAACCACCCACGCTCCACCTCGCAGTTCTCCCATCATTGGGATGTACACAAACACTGGCTGCCGATAGGTTCTCAGATTTTCTACTATAGTTGAACCCGCCTGAAGTATTCCTTCGAAAAGATCTCTCTGCCCACCTGAAAAACCTCTCCAGTTTGCTAGGATAAACAATGGGAGCTGTTCCCGGTTGAAATCCATGAGCGCTTGAGCTGTTTTGGCTGCTGAATCAGGATACCAGACTTGTCCTGCTTGTGGAACCACTCTTTCATGAGAGTCAAGCTGTCCAGGATCTGCTGGGATGATCTGCATTACAGTTTGTGTCTCGACAGCAACAACTCCAACGGGTATTCCCCCAAGCTTAGCTCTACCAGTCACTACCGTCCTTGCCCAGCCTTCAAGAGTCTCAACAAAGCTATTTTTATCAAAGATACCACCAAGCCATTTACCAGTATTGTCATTAATCCCAGCTATAGCAGCTCGTGGGTCACAAGAGTTCTCTGGGATATACTCCACAGTTCTCTCCGGTGGATCTAAAGGAGCAAGAACAGGAAGAGGACCACCCACGTAAGCAGGAATGTAGCTCAGCCAGTTGAGAATTGCTGATACGCCCTCAAGATCATCTGAGACTGTAAGATGAACAACACCATTTGTGCCCATGATTTTTGGGCCTCCAAGTTGCATGTGAGAGCTATAGACCTCACGCCCAAGCAGCTTGTTGAGCGTAGAAAAGCCAGTCAAGATGATTGGCTGGTCTAGTCTCTGTATGCACCTCATGCCCAGGCGGGCAAGGTAAGCACCGATTCCGACCGATCTTCCACTAACAAAGGTTAGCGTAAAAGTTTCATTGTACGCCCTTGAGTAAGCACCCGCTATTGCCCCACTTCCTGTTAAATTCTCAACTCCAATACCATCTTCTTTACCAACAATTGTATCAATCACCCACCTTGTTTCGCCACTAGGGAGCTTCACTTCGTGGGCAATGACAGATGATCCAATCCTTGCATAGTCTTCAGAGCTTAGGTATATATACTGAAAACCATTCTCGGGGGAAACTTCATCCGACCACCCAACTTTGAAGCAGGCTTTTACTTCTTCAGCTACACCGAGTCGGGCACCAGAATTTGCTGCCAAGTAAATCAAGGGAAGCTTTTTGGTACAAGCGAGTTCAGTCACAGCAAGGAAAAATGCATCCTCTCTAGGACCAAAAGAACCAGCTTTGAATGTGACATCATTGGCGACAATGAGAAGTTTCCGTCCCATAGGAAACTCAGGAGTTGACATCTCTAAGATCCAGGCCACCATTCCAATGTCGTTGAGACCAGCTGGTCGTTCAACCGGAATAAGAGATGTACCCGAAGAACCTTCTGTATTGGAGAATACAAGCTCTTTGACGTTGATGAGTGTATTCTTGCATGGTTTCCGAACTCCCGGGTGTTGTGATGCCCACAGGAGCTCCAATGCTGTCTCAAATGCCTGAAGAGACAAGAAATAACATAAAGTAGGTTGGAAGCAGCCAGAAGAGTAAAACTATGTGAGAAACTACTGAATTCAGTTACTAACCAAGGGGAAGTCATAGCAATAAGTAGTGTTACTCCTCCTTGCGGCTAGACGTTTCCTGTCCAGATTATTCAGTGATTTATATTGACCATTGATTGGAGTTCCATGCAAAGGTCCCTTCTTAGTTATTGAGTGGTAGATTAAACTGTTTCTTCCAGTAGCTTCCACTTCTCGGTATATCTGAAACATACAATCACAGTGAGTCAAGTTTTGGAGAAGTGTACTCTCTGTATGGTTTGCACAACAAACTATTTGTAAGCTGAAAATTTACATGGACAGTGCATGTATGGCCTGTCACGTTTGCAACCACGACCCTCCAAGCGCCATTTGCCAGTCCCGAGGACACCAACCACAGTCGCACTTCCCATTCGCAAACACCCAATCCATGCATTCTCACTCCAACAGACCTATGTATCTCTCGTGTTGCTTCTTCTAAGATCATCTCAACTGTTGTTTCTTCATCCTCCGCATTCACTTCAACTCTCCTGTGAGAAATATATTGAACAATGTTAATATAAAGTCCTAACACATTGCAAATGATGACTTGTAAAAGACAGAGCCATAGCAACCTGGGGTAAGGCACAAGATCTTCTATCTGCTGCTCAGGTAGTATGCATAAGAACATATGTGCGTGGTCTGGTTTCATGGCAACATTATGTGCATTCAGTTCAAGTTCCACCATGGCATTCATCAAAGACCTCAGAACGTATTTTGACGTAAACGCCATGGAGAGCAGTGTTTGGCTAAGTTGGTAGTCCCGCCCTTGCTGCAACATAAACCCATCATTCATTGCAGCTTGTCGAACAAGAGATCTAAGGAACATCCTTTTGATTGGCACTGGCTTGTCTGTAACAGTATACATATGCCATTGACGGTCTCGTGAAGGCGTATACTGTATATTTGAGTAACCTTTCAATTTATCCTGCATCAGACAAACAATAAACAATCGTTAAAATAAATTTGAGATGCTGTATAACAAGAATTTACATTTCACCATCATGGTCATACCAACTCAAGGTATATGGATAGAGGAGGTTCAAGATGTCGCAGCAACGGCTCTTCTACGTAATACTGTTTCTCCATCGACCAATGGAAAGAATGTCTCATTGGTGTTCGTCCTTCATCTCGCTGAATTATACAACTGATCATACCAACACCGGCAGAACAGAGGCTTGAACTCACTTCTTCCTCTTTAAGTATTTTGGCCAGCTTGTTTACTCTTTCCTGAGTTTGGTCCTCATCCCCGCTGAGACAAACAAACCAGAAATGATCAAATATTTGGTAGACACTACAGCACCTCAGCTGGTTTAAACAATCATGCTGCGTTGACTGTCAAGTACCTGTCCTGAAGCAGACTCATCTGATTGTTGTTGCCCACAATAGCAATGTGCATGATATTGCCAGATAAAGGAGCTCCGGCATATTCATAGTCGTTGTGGTTTGTTTCTCTCAATGCTGCACTTATTATACTCGGCAGCAACTGCAGCGATTTGATTATAACCATAGCCCCCCGTTTTCTCTTACTACGCTTCTCAACAATTCCTTTTTCAGATGTCTCGTGATCATCTGAGCCAATGTTTTTTCTTTCAAAATGCTCCTCTAGGAACTCCCAAGAAGCAATAAGACCAGAACGGTGCCACTGCATCCTCACACTTTCTTTAACGACATAAGGCTAAAGACATGAGACAAGTTAAAATGAGTAAAAAATTTATTGTCTAACCAATTGCAGTCCAAAAAGAATTTTGAGTAATAAGGGTGCGGAAGAATAAACTCTTACCTGGTATAATCTGTGAATATAAGTCTCAACAACCCGTCTTTGAAGCGTGTGATTGCTGTGGTCAAATAATCCCACGAGAGCGTCTTCAACAGCTACAGATGCGCTCACAAGATCTTCCATCCTTTCATTAATGGCACTCTTCCTCTTGGGAGTATCCATATCTTCTCCATCTTCTGAAAACATTTCTAATTCTGAAAGGCTTCTAGCAATATTTGAACGAAGTTCACTTAGTTTGGCCTGTTCGAGCAATTGACTCGCCTTGAGTGCCAACTACACGCACGTATCAATCGTCAGCTGACGAATATCAACAAAAATAGCATAAAACATAAAGGAACCAAACGCACCTCAGAGTAATTAGTATGGTTAAGTGTTGAGAATCGGATAAGTTTATCTCTGTATGCAGCAGGAATAGGGTAAACGAACTGCTCCATGAGTCGTAGAACAAGTTTGTTTTTGTTTTTTATACCCTAAAAAGAAGAACAGATGAGCACACCAGTTCAATAACATAGTGATAAAGACAAGAAAAACCTGGTGTGCGAAAAATAATCACAAACCTGGTGTGAAAGCACGATATCGACAATCTTTAATAGATCTTTCTTGTATTGCTGACGCATGCGTTCTATTAC